AATGATAAAAGAATATACAAAATAAGTGATGCACAATGCAATTGCTCACCATCTGCCAACCGATGCCCCGACAGGTCCTAAGCAGCAGTCACCCCTCCCCCGGCTAACTCCCCCCAGTTTATATACTGAGCATGACATCACATGGTATGGAATATCCCTTTGGCCAGTTTGGGTCAGCTGTCCTGGCTGTGCCCCCTCCCAGCTTCTCGCTGGCAGGGCATGACAAGCTGCAAAGTCCTTGACTAGTGTAAGCACTACTTAGCGACAACTAAAACATCGGTCTGTTATCAACATTGTTCTTGTCCTAAATCCAAAACACAGCACTGTCCCAGCTACTAGGAAAAAAATTAACTTTATCCCAGCCGAAACCAGGACAAACACTCTTATCATGAAAGGAGATGAATATATATATATAAAATTACACAGTAAGTGTGTGATCTACACTCTAAATTAACATCCAATTAATAGAAGTTATAGCCCAACTCATCCATTCCCAATATGCAGCATGCCTATAAATGGCTCATAGGCAGTAAGCAGAATCAGAGAACACTTATTATATTTTATTTAAAATTGAATACATTTGTAATGGTCCATAATGGTCTTGAAGAACTACTAATGCTGATGCCGGCCTACTGTTTGAAAAAAATAATTCAGAAATCATGAATATAATCTAATTACAGCACTGAGTATTTGAAACTTAGAATTGCAGCATTTCACTGGTAAATTCAAGCCTTTTTTGTTTTAGTGATGGCATACCAACGTTGCAATGCTTGTACAGCAGAAAAGGTATTTGCAGGGGACTAACATAAAACTGCTACAGGAAAGCAACATTTTTAAGTCACAAAATTGCTTAGTCGACCACCTCACTAAAAATTTACTTCACCACCCTAAGTGCTACAGAGCTAATGAAAGAAGTAGAATCTAGCATCTCTTGAGAACTCTAATGAAGCTCCAGCTAACTTCCAATTACAATGTCAAATGATGCAAGAGGCTGAAAGCAGCTACTGAATCATCAGATCCTGGGCCGTGCTTCAATTTAGAGTATCACCTTTGGTTTATAAAAGAAGAAATTACAATGAAATGTTCTCCTCCCCCTGCCACAGTATGACTGTTACGGGAGATTGCAAAGAGCATTAAAGCACTGAGAAAAGTAGACTGAAATCTTACAAAACCAGTAGACAGCAAGGAAAAGAGGGAAAGAAAGGAAACATCTGGAGGCAGAACATTCCAATGGAATTTAATAACTTTGGCCTAAGATATTACAAAAAATACTGTAGTTTTTACAATAATAAATTTCTAGTTGTACCACTCATTTACAAGCACCTATTTAATCAACTTCCACAGAAACTAAAATCTGTAGTGTGACAAAAACCAACTATCTAAACTCATTCTAGTTTTGGTAATGTCAATGATTAAATTATTAGACAATAATAAGAAAGTTCAACATACTGTTGAAGAAAAACTGAAATCTCTATATAAATGTGTATTTAAGCATTTTCTGAAGGTGCTGTTTCTAGGCCCTGTAAATACATTTACGAGCATAAAATTTCAGTGTCTCTATTTAACTGTCCTATGCAACCCTCTCTCTGTCAGCTGACATAGGCACAATCATACTGGTGGAAAGATGACATAGGTGTTGCATATCCTGGAATCAAAATTATTTGCCTCAAATACATACAACTTCCCAACACTTGGCACTACATTATCAAATGTTGCCTCAACCTCCACTTAATCCATGCACTCCACTTAATCATTAATGGTTAAAAGAAACCAGCATAAAGCAAAACTGAAGACCAAGGTCACAATTCCAAGGGCCTTAAACCAAACCAGCTGCTCTTTCTATTCCTCCCTGTCTCCCTTCTCACCCCCCTTGCACCGTTTCTGATGCTTCTGATCCTGGGTTGAGCCACCAATGCATCCTCACAGACAGAAAAATATTTCCTTTTTTAGTCAGGTTACTTATTTGCTTCATTATCACACCAGAACAAGTCAGCAAATATCGCAAGATGAGTACTGATCTGAGGCAGCTAGCAGTTCGATCAGCATAAGCTGATAGGAACCATAGCTCTTATTTTCCATCCCTTCCACAGCCCAGTTGAGTGATGCTGGGTAACTTGCACCTCTGTTAGTTCTCCTCTGCTACTTGTTTTCCTATACCCTGTAAGCTTGGGAAAGGGAACTGCACCTTGTGCTAGTAGGCATTGTTTGCAACTACCAAAATTCAAATAAACCCCAAAGTTTTCAGCAACAGCAAAAACTCCATAATGTTTAGGTATCTATAAAATGGAAAACTTGAAACTTTCACCAGTCACTGCTCGCAATTTTTTTTTTTTTAAATTGTTTTCCTGACCTTTTTCACTGTTTGCCAATTAGCTAAAAAGAAAAAAAAAAAAACAAAAACAACTTATCCTGAACAACTCACCATTTAATTCTTATTCCCAATTGCAAATACAGGCATCTGTATAATTTTGTAGTTGAAAAATCCAAGTGTTCTAAAATAGGATTTTCTTTTATCAGTTATTTCAAAAAAGATATGTGACTACAGAATTATGCTTCTTCACTCCAAAACAGCAATTACTTTTAAATTTACACCTGTGGAAACATGATATGGGAACACGATGTGGGAGCAAAGATACACGATATTTTATTCACTTAGATTCTTTATCTTCAGTCCTTGAAAATATGAGGCATGTTTCAAAAACAAGCTTTGAAAATCAAGTCCAAGCAGTTCCTGTGCTTCAGTTGCTTTTTCACAACACTTTAAACACATCAGAGATGCTGATGTATCTCTCTTCAGTACCCCTTCCATACATACCCATTCCCTGCCCCATAATTCTACTGCATCTCATTTGATCCTATGATTATCTGCTCTTGCTGAATAAGGAATACAGTAAAAAAGTGAATGGTTTTCTGACTGTTTAGCTATATGATGCAATTTATCACGGATTGAACCCTCATGAAAACATCACCTTTGACTGGCTTAAATTTATGATAAAGCGGCCATCTAATGCCACCTTCTCCTCCCCTACCAGCTAGTATTTTCTATACCTTCTATTTCAATTCTAATAATCGTACTGCTTTGTAGCACTTTAGATGAACCTGCTGATCTGACAAAAAAAAAATTCATTTTTGGGAAGTTAGTTTTTATTGGGAACATCAAGTACGTAGCCATGAAACTGCTAAAGCAAGGCAGTACACGAACAATGACACCACACAACCAAGGACAGGACTATCCATTTCAACACCTCCACAGTCTCACGGTTAAATCTTTTGTACAAGCACATTTTTACACTGGAATATAACTGGCACTTCAAGCAGCCATGAACTAATCCTAAAGGCCTCCTTCTCTCTTCCGTTTCTGGCCATGCATGAATGCATTTATACTCATTCTCCCAACTCCTTGTGGCAGCTACGCAGCAAATTCTAATGAAGAATTTGGTTAATCACATTCAGCTTTTATTTGGGGCAGGCATCAATCCACCAATATATTTACTCTACCAAAAAGAAAGAAAGAGCAAGGAAGCCTGAGAATGTTTTTGGCAACAGCACTCGTAATAACTTTAAACAAATTGCAAAATTAAAGTGTTCCTCAGCTTCATTAATTGCACCTACTTAACACAGGCCATAATCTTTCTGCCATTCCTTCTAAGAAAAAGACAAACTTTTCCAGTGTCGCTTTCTTGACAACGACACTCTGCACAAAGCTGTCGGTCTGGGGTCACCCCCCCCACAAAAAGACAAACAATAATTAAGTAATAAGGCAAGACACCCCAGTACTTACGACTCATCTAGATCCTCCACAAAACCCGCACCTGATGCCACCACATGTGCAACCACTGCGAGGTAAGGAAAAGCGTACCGTGAGTGACCTCCCAACCAAACCGGGGGTGCTCACCCACGCCAGCTGACAGGCTCACCGCCAGCGCGCCCTTCCCCTTCTCCCCTCACGCCTCCAACGCTTTCCCACAGCCCCAGCCTTCCCCGCACCTCCCTCCCGGCCGCCGCAGGGCTGCCCGCTGCTCCC